CTTTCGTCCGTCATATGACGAGCATCGTCAGAGCAAGGTATCATCGTCACAACAAAATTCAAGCTAACGAGTCAAGGAAAGTCACCGGGAAATCCCTAAAAAGTGGTATATATACTCTACATCTGGCCTCTTTGAGCAACTATAAAGTGATTTGGGTAGTTAAGGTCATGTCAACTTTGATGTCTTATACTGGATCAAAGAAGCCAGATGTAGAGTATATATACCACTTTTTAGGGATTTGCCGGTGAGTTTTCCTGACTCGTTAACTTTAATTTTTGTTGTGACGATGTTACCTCGCTCTGATGCTATTTGTCATTTGACGGGCGAAAGCTTAGCCCCTTTTCACCGGAATCGAAGGAGATTACACCTCGGAGACAGCGTCAGCATGAATGTTCCAGTAAAGCCAATTGGCAGCTGGTCAAGAGGAATCCGCCGTCGTCTTCTGGTGAAATCGACCTTCGAGTCTCTTCACAAAACACTTTCACTCGAAATGGAAGTAAGCAAACAATAATGAAACCAGAGATTCCTCGGAACCCAACTTTTCTTCGCCTATGTGAAATACCATGGAAACCTGAAACTTACTCATATGCTTGTGGGAAAATTCAACTATCTGTGCTTCATCATCTTACCCGAAATGGAGTGAACATAGTTCTCCTTTAAGAGGTCTTTTTTGTCTTGAAGGTCTAAACTTTCGTATGAATCATTGGACTCCGTGTCTCTCTAATCATAATGCTCCCGACCCAGTTACAAATAGCGTTTGGGGTGGTTATGCGACCCAGGCTAGTTATGAACTGCAATCCAAATACAATAAGAATATTAACGTAAGAAAAACTCCACACTCAGTTCTTAAATCATATCATACGAGGCTTGGTGGCTAGGTTTTTAATATGGGAATTTCCGTCTGCGCGGTCAGCGTTTCGTGAAAGACCCTTTTTCGGCAGCGCCTAGACAAGTGGTCGTCAACACCGATCGGTTCCCTGGAGAGGCATCACAAAGCACCTGTTTTCGTGCTGCCGACGGTAAGAATGGCAGAAAGCTTCAGGCGCTTCTACCGAAATGGTGCATTATCCGAGTTCTACTTTAATCTCTCACAATCGCAACTACGGCCGCACAACTGTTCGTCTGTAGGTTGAAGATGTCACCAGATTGGTTGAGCTTCTTAAGCGAATTAAGTTATTAAATGGACTTTTCTGGTGTCAACCTTATTCAAAATGGGTGGGCAGATGCGCTGCAGCATTTGAGAGTATATTCACGACTTTTGTTGTGCATCGGAAGGGCAAAATGTGATGTCCACGCGTTGCTACTCACGCTCTTGCACAATCATAACGTGGCAAGAATATTGTCTTTTCCAAGCTGACAATGGATAGGCATTTGCAGATGAAGCCAGTGACGACTTGGAGAAAAGGATTAAGGGACATTTCTCTCTAATCGGTCATGCGTGATGCTAGCCTTGACTACAAAGAAGTCAGTGTTATTAGGCCTCGATGGAATGAACTCTTCAGTTTAATATTTAGTTGAGCAGGCAACAGAAGAAGAAGAAGAAGACTGTCGCTTGCTTTGCGTATCAGACAAGAAGACACATCACCAATTCACGAGTTCAGGGTGCTTTAGATTGGTTTTGGTGTCTTGTTCTGTTAAGAAGGTTTTTTAGACATTCACAAGACCGCATCTATGAGATGCAATTACCATATTTCGTGTAATGAGATGAAGGACTGGTGATTGGCTTTTCCCACACTCGTATGACTAGGCCTCATGTATTCGGTGAATGCCACATAGCCTTGCTTCATAAAAGGTATTCTCATCCAGGCTGGACTGCAGCATCACGCTGCGGTATCTCGATTCGAGTCCCGCTAGAAATGCTGATGAGACGAGTTAAAGCGAGGCCGAAAGTATACTACACCCCAGTCGGGATGAGAATACCTTTATGGAAGGCAAGGCTATACGAAATGTAATGGAAACACAAGGTTTACTGATATGATTGTGAGCAAATTCAACTTACAATACTTTTTTAAGCTTAAGTTTATAGATATTAAGTCGAAGCTTCGGTGTAATTTGGCTAAGATCTTGACTCAAGAAGAGTTTCACAAACTTCAGAGAATGGCCGAAATGAAATCATGTAGGATCTCTGACTTGATAGCAAAATGACACGACGATACCTTGCATAATTTTGGGACTATAAGACAGCCTAAGTTAAGACCAGTACGTCTAGTTGAAGTGGCTTCCGAAGTGTTAACACCAA